TTTTTACTTTAACCTCTAAAACAACATTTACTGAGTATTTAGTATTTTATAAAGTCACAGTTTATCCTGAGGTGTTAGAGCTCCATTTTACTCTTTATAATACTTGTTTTATGCGGCAGGTTTTTTTTTTTAACCATCTGTTCTTAAAGTGGTTTTAAACATCTGAATTCCAGAAAGCTCTTTGCAGCACATCATATTTTAAAGACACTTTTCCCTTTTCTCCTCTCATCAGTGCATTTTGCAATTATACAATTAGCATTATGCTTTTGAGAGCCTCCAAGTCTTCTCAAGCTTCCTTACACAGTTTCTGATCTTGGAATTGATCCTAATTTTCCTTTGAAAAACTTGAAATCTGCCTATCCAATATGTGCATATTTCTCCTTCCTTTCTTGATCTCCAAACAACATGGCTGCTTTTTTTCCAAGGCTTCCTTCTATTTATACATTACCAATTATGTTTTAATAGTGAGGATTAGGTCCAAAGTAATGCTTCCTCTCGTTTCATTTTTTAAAAGATTAACTGTTAATGCTTACCAAGAACATGTTATCAGATGCATTTAAACTGAGTGACATTTTTCACAGATGTCACAGTAATAAAAACTAATAACAGTTAATGTTTATTTGCACACTGCAACATGATAGACACCAAACTAAATCTTTGCATATGAACTATCTCACTTGTCCCCTATTATAGCATTTAGGAGATATAGATGCAATTGGTATTCAAGTGATACTAGAAGAGGAAATGAGTTTAAAAAATGTTGAATTCTATGTCCAAGATTACACAGCTTGTCAGTGCCAAAGTACGAAATTTTCTAAATCAAATTCTTAATCACCGAACTGGATGGCTTCACATGATGCTTAATTACTATGTTGGACAAGATGCTATTACTTGAAAACCTGTGTAGTTCCCAGACCACTTGCTGTGCACAGTAGGCACTTAAATATTTAATTCAAGGTTTATCATTCTTGTTGATTTTTATAGTATGGGCTTTTAGTTCCTAATTGTCAATAAGAAAAATATATTCCAGGCACTGGTGGCTTACACCTGTAAGCCTAGCTGCTCAGGAGGCTGAGATCTGAGAATTACAGTTCAAAGCCAGCCTGGTTAGGAAAGTCCATGCGATCCTTATCTCCTATTAACCACCAAAATGTAGGAGGTGGAACCATGGCTCAAGTGGTAGAATGCTAACCTTGGGCAAATAAAAAATAAAAAGCCAATACCAGTACTTGGTGTGTGTGTGTGCGCACGCACGCACGCACGCGCGCGCGCACACACACACACGAAAAGGATAAGAAAGGTAATTGCAATACTACATCAAACAATTCATAGAAGAATGGGAAAAGAAAATATGAAAAGATTCTCATTAGTGAAATAGATTATTTTGAAATAGAGTTTTGATGCTTTAGATTTTTTTTGGTGCAAGGGATCATACCCAAGGCCCCCTGATAGGCAAGCACTATACCACTGACTAGCCCCTTGAAACCCAGTTTTAATTTTTCTTTTTTTTGTGACAGTCCTGGGGCTTGAACTCAGGGTCTGAGTGCTGTCCCTGAGATTTTGTACTCAAGGCTAGCACTCTACCACTTGAGCTGTAGCTTGACTTCTGGCTTTTTTTTTTATAGTGTTTAATTGGATATAAGAACCTTACAGAGTTTCCTGCCTGAGCTGGCTCTGAACTGCAATCCTCAGATCTCAGCCTTCTGAGTAGCTATGATTATAAGCTTGAGCAACCAGCACCCAGCTTTGAGACCCATTTTTAAGTGATAAGAAGTCTTTTTCTCTTTGTAAATGTGATATATGAAAGAGAATACAAAAATGTATGTGAAATTCCAGGAGAATCACTAACACAAGAAAGCATATATAAAATTTAATTGTAATGTCAGAATACTATTGTACTTTGGAAACTGAAAATATTGTCTCCATCATTTTATACTAATTATGATATTAGTAGCTATATCTTGTTCTTTTTTATTTTTTATTACCTTTAAGTGGTTGTACAAAGAAGTTCCCATTCTACAAAACAGTATATGAATACAAAGTGTCTGACAACATTGTCACCCACCGCTCCTAACCCATCCCTTCTCTCACTTTTCTTTTAACTGATACTAGGTGATTACATAAATTTCACAGTATTGTGGAATAGTGGTACTTAGTTAAAGTTAACCTTCACAAGGCAAATTGTCATTATCATGATCTATAAAGTTTGAATTCTATGAGCTTTGACTATACAATTATTTCTTCCACATCAGGTGATATCTACATTTCTTTCCTTTTGCTTAGTGTAAGCTGTTTGCTCTTTCCCTCGCATCACTGTCTTTGAGTTGCTTAGTTCATTATAAACTATATCCAGTGCAGCTGATGGGCCCCTCTGTTTTATGATTTCCTGTTAGGATTCTTTTTTTTAATGAGATATTGAAGCTCAGTTTCTTCCTTTAGTTTTCCATATTACTGTTTTTTCTCAAGTCTAGCATTCCAGCACTTGAGCCACAGGTCCATTTCTGTCTTTTTGGTGCTTAATTGAAGAGAAGAGGCTCATAGACTTCACTGCCAGGTTGGCTTTGAACTGTGATTGTCAGACCTCAGTCTCCTACATAGCTAGGATTGCAGACATAAGTCACCAATGCCTGGCTCACTTTAACTTTTTAAATTAGTAGTAAAGGGTAAAAGCTAAGATCTTTTTCATAGTTTCCTTTATTATTTGTTTTATTGAACTTGTTATAATTACTCCTTTTTTTGGCTGGTTTCTTTCACAGTTGTTATTTTGTTAGGCAGAACTGAGCTGGGTGCTCAATCATTGTGACCCATATGATTGATTTCTTTTGTTATAGAGGAGGAGTCATTAGGCTCTTTCATTGGGCATGTTAAGTAGTTTAGTAATTGAGTATGTTATTTATGGATTTTTATAAAGAATAATGGATCTGGGTAAGGTGGCAAAGTATGTGTAATCCCAGTACTCAGGAGTTTGAGGTAAGAGGATCTGGAGTCCATAGTAAGACCCTGTCTCAGAAAACAACAACCAAAAAGAACAACGGAAGCTGTATTTTAATATACTGGGAGTTGGCATGGGTTTGCTGTGAAACCTTTGCTCAAGGTTCAAACCCAGACCTATGAGGTTTTTGTTTTAAGACAGAGTCTTACTGTATAGTCCAGGCTGGTATCTCATTCTCTCTTACTCCTCTCCTCTTCCCTCCTCTCCCCTTCCCTCTCTTCCCTTCTTCTCCTCTCCTCTTCTTCCCTCCTCTCTCTTCCCTCCTCCTTTCTCCTCTCTCCCCTTTTCCCTCCCATCTCCCCTCCCTTTTCCCCTCTCCCTTTTTCCCCTCTCCCTGCTCTCTTTTCTCTCTCCTGTCTCTTCTCTCCTCTCTGCCAGTCATGGGGCTTTTGAACTCAAGGCCTGAGTACTGTCTCTGAGCTTTGTTGTGTTCAAAGCTATTGCTCTATGTCTTTATCACTTGAGCCATAGCTCTACTTATGGGTGTTTTGGTAGTTCCTTGGAAAGTTAATTGGAGATAAGAGTCTCATTGCTATCCTGCTATGGCTGGCTTTGAGCCCTGATCCTCAGATCTCAGCTTTCTTAGAAGCTAGGATTATAGATGTTAGCCCCTGGCGCCCAGCTCAGGCTGGTCTCTTAGCTGGCAATCCTCCTGCTTTGCTCTCAGACTGCTAAGATTACAGCCTTGCACTGCCATGTCCTGTTGTCCTATCAGTCTTAGTTTATGAGGTAGCTTGAGCAAGTCACTTAGTAGTGTAAGCCTCCATTTTCCTATGAGAAAATCAGGGGTTTTTATTGTTCTCAGGAGGAATAGTTTACCATGTGAGGCACATGTAAAGCATCCAGTGCAGTAACAGTGTTCGTTTTTTCTTTTCCATAGTTGGGCAAGGGGTTTTCTCCTTTTCTGTGTTGTTTACTCCTTTGCTAGTCTGGAGAAAATCATGGACCCTTCACAAAATAATAATTTCAGAGGCTTAAAAGATAGTGCCTGGGATTACAAAGAAACTAGTTATTGAATACAGCTACCAGATATTTCATGCTGCTATCTCAAATACTTGTTTGGACTTAGATGAGGGATTAAAGATAAACATAAGATTAATTAAAGATAAACATAAGAAGGAAAACGAGGAGAGAAAGCTTATAGGTACATATCCGTGGTTTTCAAATTATGAGGTGGGATTTCTCTGCTAATCTCCAACTTCCCCTCCTTTCTTGAAATATTTGAGTGTTCGGGGTCAGTTTGATAAGATATATACGTACAATGCTGCAACACTCAAATGTACTGTACAGCTGCCTCAATATTCTGACAAATCTGTTTGTGTTTTCATTTCTTCCAATACATACTTAAGTTCTTTGAGGAAATGGACCATATCTTATTGTTATTTTAATATTTTCCCACAGTGCTTAACACAACACTTGATCATGCTTCATAAGATCTTGATAGTCATCATCATTACATAGTTCCAGCACCAAAAAAACAAAGTTTGACCTATTGTCTACTGAATTATTTCCTGTAGGAATTGTTGCTATCAGACTAAAACTAAAAACCTACTGGATTTTTGCATATATTTCAAATTTTCACTAACTCAGTTATTTTTTACTAACTCCCCAAATTATTCATTCCTGGTGGTTTTGTGGTATTAATAGTGGTTAAGAGAACTAACTACAGAATGGCTTCCTGAACTTTGAAGCCCTGAATTTGACCTCCTGTTCCCCACTTGTATTGTAGGGCCTGACATATATAACAGGTGATTAGTATATTTTCTTCTGTTTGGAAATAAACTTGTACCTGAAAAAAATTGCTTGGCTTATTTATGAAACCTTGGAAATGTACTTAAACAAAAACAATTAAGCTTGGTAGCAAATAGAACATAGGTTATTTTATGAAGGAAAGCAGCTTTAGTAAAGGGTCCTAAAATAGTGTATTAATTATTATATTGAGGTTTGATATTTTGTTTGCTATTGGTGCTTTTTCCTTCTGATTAAATTCTTCTACTCATATTCTTAGGTTAAAACATCAGAATTTTATCGATACTCCCGACAGCTGCGCTACGAAGTTGACCAGGCACTGAATTACTTTCAGAACATTCACCAGCAGCCCCTATTGGACATAAAATCAAGCCGCATTCGTTCTGCCAAACCTCAAACTACAGTATTCCGGGGCATGATTGGACATAGCATGGTAAACAGTAAGATACTCCTACTGAAGAAGCCACGAGTCTGGTGGGAGCTGGAAGGCCCACAAGTACCTCTACGGCCAGACTGTCTTGCCATCGTCAATAACTTTGTGTTCCTGTTAGGTGGGGAAGAACTGGGCCCTGATGGTGAATTCCATGCTTCTTCCAAAGTGTTCAGGTATGACCCAAGACAAAATTCTTGGCTGCGGATGGCAGATATGTCTGTACCACGTTCAGAATTTGCAGTTGGTGTTATTGGGAAGTTCATTTATGCTGTAGCTGGCCGAACCAGAGATGAGACTTTCTATTCAACTGAGAGATATGACATTACCAATGATAAGTGGGAATTTGTGGATCCCTATCCAGTTAACAAATACGGACATGAGGGGACTGTGCTAAACAACAAGTTATTTATCACTGGCGGAATCACCTCATCTTCAACTTCTAAACAAGTATGTGTGTTTGACCCCAGCAAAGAAGGAACCATAGAACAGCGAACCAGGAGAACTCAAGTAGTTACCAATTGCTGGGAGAACAAGAGCAAGATGAATTATGCCAGATGCTTTCACAAGATGATTTCTTACAATGGCAAGCTTTATGTCTTCGGTGGCGTCTGCGTGATCTTGAGGGCCTCTTTTGAATCTCAGGGCTGCCCATCCACAGAAGTATACAACCCAGAGACTGATCAGTGGACCATCTTGGCATCCATGCCAATTGGTAGAAGTGGCCATGGCGTGACTGTGCTAGATAAACAAATAATGGTTCTTGGAGGCCTTTGCTATAACGGTCATTACAGCGATTCCATTCTTACTTTTGATCCGGATGAAAACAAGTGGAAGGAAGATGAGTACCCTAGGATGCCCTGCAAGCTAGACGGTTTACAAGTGTGCAACCTACATTTCCCGGACTATGTACTGGATGAGGTCAGGCGTTGCAACTAATGATGTCCATCTCCCTAAAAGCAAAAGTGAAACGAAGCATTTGTTTGTGATACAGTAGTTACTTAAAAACGTATAAAGAAAAAAAAAACCTCACCAGTTTTACTATTAAAGCCATTGGTCTAATGTAAGAAGTTTTCATTCTGTGCTAGCATATTTTTTTTAAGTTTTCAGTGGCCTCAGACTCATGCAATAAGTTAATTCTAAGCGCTAGCTCTTGAAACTACTTCCAGAAGCAGTTTAATAGAATGCTCCACTTATCTAGGAAGTTGATTTTCTGCTTTAAACATTTTTTTCATATGTTAGTGTAGGAATCTTCTAAGAGAAGACCCAATAAGTGTACTGGATGTGATTTCAGTCCCTATCTGAAACCTTTTTGAACAGTACTTTCAGTGTATTTCAGTCTGTTACATGTTTTGGTTTTATTATTTAAAAGTTTAAAACTCTTGACTTTTTTGCATGGCTTTTTGCTGAAAATGCAAAAATATAAATTTTCTACAAAATGACCTTTTATATTCAGAACACTATTTCTAAGCTGCCTTCTCTTACCTGCATTGTGTTAGTGAAAGCATCTCCATACTCGCATCCATCCTATAAATATATAAGGTGTGGTTAGGCTTCTATATTTTTAAGCTTGTGTACTTGCACTCCGTTTGCCATACTTGTCGAATTTTTGTATGTAATGTCTTTTCATGTATTAACGTTTTTTAGAAAGGTAAATTAACTGGAGTCCTCATTTGGTATCAAAGTAGCCTGTCTTCAAGTCCATATTGATTCAGTAATATTTGGACTCCTTATATTCCTGAAATGTATGGATTTATAAAAACTAACATTTTTATTTTCTAAAGTTAAATGTTAATGTTCTTTGTGGATGTATGTCTTTTCTTTCTGAAAATGTTTTCTCTTTGCAGTCTGTTTATTGTTGCCCTGTTTTAGTGAGAAATGGCGTGGTTTATGACAAGCTCTGACCCTGCAGCGTGCAAGCACTTTTAAAGAGAAGTAGGTAATACCACACTCCTAAATAAAGGCCCCTTTAAAGTAAGTGCAACTCCCATTTTTTTTTTTTTACGTCCAGTCAGGCTGCTGCATTTGTTATTGAATGGAAGGTGGCAACTCTCAGAAAGTTTGAGCTCAGTTTTGACTTAGAGGTAAGAAACTTAATTACAATGTTAATGATTATATCTACTTGTTTATTTTGTACAAAGTAGTGGCACTAAGGATGTCAGCTCTCAGCTTTCGTTTAATTTTCTGGAAGCTACTGGCATGAAGGTCGATAGTAATCACAAAGTTCCTGATGGATCAACATAGCTGTTGAAAAGCATTTATAAATGTTTTAGAATTAGCTGCACCTTTCAACTCTTTAAATGCAAAAGAAGAAGTGTAGTTGACAAAATTAAGCAAGAATGACTTGGGAGTGGATGATTTAAATTGATTCTACTTTCTCATGAGAGGTCTATCTCTGATACAGACTAGATCTACCCTGGCAAATTTTGCCAGATCTTAGAATTTTGGTGCAATAGTGCAATGCCTTCTATATGGCTGCTGTTGTATAAATGTTGTACTTTCACTTTTTTTTTTCTGCTGCCACCACTGAACATAGAAGCGTGAAGTTGTGGAAATGTGAAGATTTTGTCAGTTCAGTTAGACATAGTAGGACACAAAACCTGATTTCAAATCTCCAAAACGGAGGCATTTAAGTTTAAGAAACAGCCAGGTTACAGAAGTAACTTTTTTGGGTCTAGAATCCAAGAGCCCAAGTTGCTATTATACAGTTGGCATTGGTTTCAGGAATTAAGTTAATATTAGTGGGGCCTACATTTTTCATTTAGCGATCTTTCATTCACTTAAAATTTATAAAAATGGATCAATATCTTGTCTTTCTTATGTTTTCAAAATAATAATCTTTTGAACAGAGAATTAAAGTTAGCCACGTAATTCTTTTCAAATATATCAGTTCACTTAGGATCTTGTATGTGTGCTCTATTGTTTTTAAGAAAATAATGTCTTCATTATTTTCCTTGTTGATGTCTTTTGTGGGAAAAGTCCAGGAAAGAGCTATCAGCCACAGTTACTGCATCAAAGGCTTTACACTCCAGTCGTGGTTCTCTTTAATTGCTTAGATATAAAAATCTAGCCCTAGTTAGGGTAACAACATCTGAGCAAATAATTGGATGTTCTTGGTCTCTTGGTCTTCCATTTTAAAGATACAAGGCCAAGGTCAGAGTTCATGTTTCATAAAATTCATGGAATATTAACTTGAACTAACTAGGTTCAGCTTCACGTAAGTCATGTCTGACCTGATGTTAGCTGTAATTACTTTTGAGCTTTAAGAATAGTTGCTGTTTGCTTTGGTTCTGAATGTATGAAAAAAACTCTTCGGTTTATGTGTAGTCATAATTTAGTTTATAAATCCATGATTAACTTACATTCCCTTTTAAAAGTATAGTTTTAATTGCTTCAAGAGATTTATTTTTGTTATACTAAACTATGGACTTTTTTTCCTAGATTTTTTTTCAAGCGTGCTTTTTGTGTACTTTATTTTAAATTGTTTTGTGTTTGTTGTGTGTGCTCAAAATAGTATTTAAAAAAAAACTCAATATGAGATTTGAAAACTCCAGTGTAACTGTTGTGATCTTTCTCTGTTGCTTTCACTTTACATTTTAAATGCCAGACTACATAAAAATAGCTGATGTTCATTAATTGCTTCTTAGTACCGTTTGTTCTCTTCCATGTCTTTGACCTTCTAAGTTTTGATTTAAAAAAAAAATCATCCTTGCACAGCCGTTTTATAAAATGCAAGATTGTCCCAGTGAAGGTCTTGTATCGGAAGAAATGCTACTGGTGGTTCCAAAACCAAGCTTAATTGATAGGCGGATTAGCTGTTGTGTGTCCTCCTTGCTGTGCCCTGTATGAGTGTTAACTCCAATTGTGAAATACTGACTGAGCCCGTCACTTACCTTTTGTAAAGCAGCACTTTTGGACACCTCATTTCGGAAGCCTGCTCAAGTCATAGTAAAGGACACACATTTGTGTGGGGAAAAGTGGTCAAATGGAGAGTTTTGTCTTAATTACATGAAACTAAGCTTTAAAATATTTTGTAACAAATTATTTGAGCTGCATATTCTAAACATGTCAAACGTTCAGTGGACTATTTTTATATATGTATATGTGGGTGTAGGTCATAACATTTCAGTTTATAATATAAATTGTTATTTCAGTTTATAAGCTATCTCTCAGAAGAGACTAGCTCTTTTGAGAATACATAATTTAAAAGTTTTAGACTAAAGTAAAACAGCATAGATAATAGTGTATATTAGATATAATTGAGGGCTATACGGCAGTGAGACTGCTAGTGCCAGTTTTCTTGTTTGCCTACTATATGTTTTTGATTTTTTTTTGTATTCTGAACATTTTTAGAGATCATACATTTATTCAATCACATTTAGAGTCGGTTTGGGAATAAATATCTTCTAAAAAGAGATTTATCTTAAAAATTAAAGTCCTGAAATATTAGTTTATTGAGAGTTTATAAAGTCAAATATCCAATAGGCATAGACAAGAATAGATGAATTCCCGGAAATCCTTTCAGTATACCAATATAACTTCAATATTACTCAAGTAACATTGAGAAAATGCCATTAGCTTTGTTCCCTCTTCAATTTTTTGGATTTTTTGGTTTTACATCTTTGGGAACAACTGCATCCAAAAATTTAATCAGTATACCAGTAAGAATTAGATATTGCTTTCCAAAAGAATGTTCCTAAGAGGTGATTGGAGAGGTTATTTTCTACCTAACTTGTATGTGCCCTGTACCTCTTGGGCATACTTTGTCTATAGAAAAATATTTTGACCTTTAGGTATATTTTGGCCCAGTACTCAAATAACCGTAGGGCCAATATAAAAACAAATCTTAGAATAATTTAATGTTTGCCTTTTATACCTGTTTTGAAAGCCTTTACATTTTTTGTCAGGTGATTTTTTTTCCCAAGCCGTGGATATAATCTATTCAAACATGTTTATGCTATCCATTCTGTTTTTAAATTGAAAAAAATGTTAAAAGTGTTTATGAAGAAAAGTTTAAATAAAATATTTTTAATCTTTAAAATATATGTCTTTATTATCATTTACTGTCTTTTTTTTGTCGGCCATAGGACTTGAACTTAGGGCCTGGGTACTATCGCTGAGCTTTTTCATAAAGGCTAGATCTGCCACTTTGAGCCACAGTGCTACTTCCGGTTTTTTGGTGATTAATTGGTGATGAGTCTCATGGATTTTTCTGCCTTGGTTGGCTTCAAAACAGTAATCCTCATATCTCAGTCTCCTGAGTAACCTAGCAGGATTCCCAAGCGCCAGGCTAGCTTTCTAAGCCTTTCTCCCCTCACTTCCAATACCTATGTTCTGTTGTGATCTTTCAGTGGGTTCATCTCCAGCTTCATTTCTTTCCCTTTCCCTGCCCATCAGACTCCGTTTATTTTTACAAAGCCCAACTAGAATGCCCCCTTTCTCTCCTCTCCCATTTCTGTTCCTTGAATTAGCTTGTTTCTTCTACACTCAACATATTGTAACTCTTACTTGTTTTGCATAACAGTTGAGTATAAGTCTCCCTGGCTAGATCATAGAGCTTTCCTTGAGTGAGGGGACCTTAACTCTGTCTATTCCAGCTAGTCTGGTCCTTGGTTTACAGTGGAACCTGAGCTAAATATTGATTGCAGCATATGATCAATACTATGTAAGTTACCGACAAGGCCTGTAGGGGTTCAGGTGAGGGAGAGGGAGCAGTTGTCTAGGGTGTTTGGTTCTGCTTTCTTCTCCATCTATACAATTCCCACCCAATCTCATCCACACCTACAACTTCACCTATTCACCTATAATTTTATTCAAATACCTGCCAAACCTACATTTCTTTACCTGTTTCCATCCAGAGAACTCATATTTGTTATGTTGGAATGTCAAACCGAACAAGTAAAAGCCTGAATACACAAATTACTTCTTTCTCCCAATCCTGTTGCTTGGTATGGCTCCATCATTGCCTTTGATTGTTCAAATCAGGAATCTTGGACTGCTGGTCTCAACATGTGAGTTCACCCAGCTCTGTCACTTTTAATTTTTAGCTGCCCTCTCCTTTACAGTCATACCTCCCTAGTTTAGGCCCTCCTCATTCTTGCTAGACTCCTGGAGCTTGCTTTCAGATCTGCCTACACGATCATTTTCTACACAGCTGCCAGAGAGAGCTTTTGATAGGTAAATCTGATACTGAGAGTCAGCAGTCTTTAATAATTTGTCTTTACCCTCAGAGTAAGATCCCAAATCCCTAACATGCTACACGTAGCCCTTCATTTTTTGTTCCCTTTGTACCTGTTTTTCCCCTCCTCTGTGCTCTCCCCCCTTTCTTCTGTTACTGTTTCTGTCTCTATTTTTTCTTTCTTTTTTGCCAGTATTGGGGCTTGAACTCAGCCTGGTTGTCCCTGAGCTTCTTTTCTAGACTTGAACCACAGCACACTTCTGGCTTTTCCTGTTTATATGGTACTGAGGAATTGAACACAGGGCTTTTTGCATGCTAGGCAATCACTTTACCACTAGGCCACATCTCTACTAGAGATGGAACCCAGGGCTTTACACTTGTTACACAAGTGTTCGACCAGAGAGCAACACACCAAAACACTGTTCAGTCTCATGCCTATACTCAGGCAAGTTTGGTATGGTTCTCAATAGGCCATGTTCTGTCAGGACTCACTGCCTCTTTTCCTCTCCTGGCTTACCCTTTCTTGGCCATCAAGAACTAGTCAGGACACCAAGATCTCTGTCAAGTCTTTAATCTTTCCTCTTGGTCTTACATTAGTCCTTCATGGATGCCTAGATGCCCATCTCCTCTGACACCTGATTATGTATCTTCTCCATCCTACCCTTTGCTGTCTTATTACCTTCCAAGAATCTTATTTAATGTCTGGTATGTGGTAAGTTGTCCTTAACAAAAACAACCCTGGAACTGAGATACCAGCAAAAATTTTTTATTAGTTCAATTGCCAAAATGGACTTCCTTCTCACTACTCATTTCCACACACGCTGCTCCCCATGCATGGAAGGCTGATGCATTCAGCTATCACTTTTGTCAGCAAATTCTTCCCTTAACCTCTCAGTAATTTTGATCCAAGCTGGAAATACCAAGTAAAACAGTCCAAAAGGTGTTTGCAGAACATTAATCCCATGTTATCCCATTAATCCCATGTGTTGGTAGGGGGGACTGAGGAAAATATTCAGTGGTCACAATAACCTTGGGGAACACTGCATACTATTTTCTTACAGAATCTCGACAAACTGGCATATTCAAGGCTCTATAAAGTTCTGTTGACTTATTTTGCTTGTGCTTACTTTATTGTGAACCAAAGTTAAACACAGAGCTCGTTTTTCCCCCCTCTGGAAAATGGGTGGTCTTTGAACTCTCTTGGCTAAGGAATAACTAAAAACAAACAAGCTCAGAGGACCACTAATCCACTCTGGCCTACAAATGGGACTTCGTCCTGCAAATCCAGTTAGATTCCAGGTTGAAGTCATTTTTGTCAAGGTGACATTACCTTGGGGATTTCACACCACAAGGAAGGTCCCACTTCTCCCCCTAGGAGTAAGATACATTTAAATAGTGCATTTATAAAACCTTGTATGGGTGAAGGAACAGGACTTCCAGAATGACTGAACAAGGAGCTTAGCCAATCCTCTCCCTACAAAGCAATTATAAACTGCTTTGTCCAAAAAAAGACATTTTGAAAATTGATCAAAGGTGTGCAACAAAGTGAGATTTGTTCAGGGAATATGAGTATCAACGAGAAGCATGGAAATCACATGTTTGAGTCTGAGGCTGCTCCCTTTCCAAGTTCTCTCATCCCTATCTCCACCTCAGAAATTCTACCAGGGCCACAAGTAGACTTTTATCTGTGTGTCCAACATTATCTGTGTGTCCAACAGTACAGCTAGCCTGAGATCTCAGTAGGGATTGGAGCTAATCATAACCTTCAGACAAAGCAACTAGCAACTGAACAGGAGAGATGGCCACAGAGGCAGGCCTTGGTAAGATCCAATGTTACTCAGGGAAGTCTGGGATGCTGTGCTCATGTGCAGGAAGAATGGAAGGGAAAACTGGAAAGTCCTAGCAAGCTACTTGTCCCTGCCTGGCTGGATAAGACTTGAAAACAAAAAGCTAGAATGGATTTGGGAACTGCTCAAGCTTATAAGCGCATGCATTCTCCAGGCTCAAGGTGTTTAACCACAACTTTTTACCAATCATTGGCTGATCACTACGGATGCCAGTTTGAGGCTGATGTCTAGGAATCTAGGCTTCAAAATACAGAAGAGCTAGTTATGTATGGTAGAGTGTAACTTGTAAACCTGGCCACTTGGGAGGCGGAGGCAAGAGAACTTCATGAGCTCAGGAATGCCAGGCTAGATGGGCAGCATACTAAGACTCTCATCTCAAAAATGAAAACAATTTTAAAAACAGGACAGAGACATCAGTGGTTG